GACATCCACACACTGCAAAGGCCTATTCGGTCATAGACACACCTAAGAGAATCTCCAGTACAACACCGTAGTCCAAAACCCAACATAAAACCTCGCCCTACCTTCAAACACTAACATTAAAAGCTTACACATTAACCTACGTTACAAGAGGTGTATACGCGACGACCATTAATAATACGCCACATATCTTCGTCTTGTTCCATTTCCGAGGAAATTGGGGAGGGAACTGGGTAAAGTTCCTTTGGGACAAAACGTTTTAGGCTCGTTTCGAAAGTTCATAACTGAACTGAAATCCATCATTTGCTGCAAAATAAGTGCAGAAGCTTCATAGGCTGCCAACAAATAGTAATTACCGTACAATTACTGAATTATTAAACGTACTGATAACACGGGTACATAATAAAAGCCCAGAAGCTGATCTTATGGAGCTGCATGACGCAACTGCGAGGGGTTAGGCTTATCAGTTGGACCCCAGGGTACCACGTGGATTTTCCCGCATAGAAATTCCAATTCCCGTGCTACCTTGCTTAATCTCCGAGAAAATTGATGCACGGATTGGGAGCAATGCAAAGTTGACAAAACACGCATGCCTACGTTTTTAGCTGATGTTTGTACTGTCAGTACCGGAAATCGTTTAATTTTTTGATAGTGCTGACTGTCTGTTGGTGGCCTACGAATACTACTTGATTATACTGCAGTTGCTGATGCGTTTAAACTCAAATATGCGTACCACTTTCGGGGGCTAGCCTAAAGCTTCTTTGTTTTCCAAGTTCGCACATTCATTTCCGAGAGAATTAAACAAAGCGGCACATGGAACCTGGAGTTTGCATACCAGAAAGCACACGGAGAACGCCGGATACCAGACTGGTGAGCCGAACTCCTCATAGCTGTGTCAGGAAGGGGCATAACAGCGGCGAACCGCTAGTTTTTAGCTGCGCTGTCAGTTTGGGAAATCCTTCAGTATGCGTGCATCATATCTCGTTCTTACAGCATGTGTTGGAATCAGTTTGCCAGCATCGGTATGGCGGATGAAGCGTCGCATGGGAAAAAACATGGCCCCAGTCTATAAACAGGTGCAATGACCTACCACACCCATAGTAGGCGTGGAAGCTTAGTTTGACCTAAGCGATTCGCCACTCGGGGGGTGGGCATACAAGTGAATGCGTCTTCTAACGATAGAGCCAGATGGTACAGAAATTATCACACCCAAGTCCAGCACACGTGATGAAGGCGCATAAGCACAGAGAGCCGTTAATTGTCATAAACACGTAGTACTTACTAGCTTCAGGCTTTGGCGATCTACAGTCTATGATGTCACGAGTTAAGGAGGTCGCGAAATCGGTCGGTTTGTCCATAAACGCTGGGAAGACCAAAGTGT